TATATATATATATATATTATAATACCACTCGATAGTGGGCGATCCGTATACCGGTCTGTTGACGGATCGGTATGTATCGCCCGGTACGAACGGTATTATTCGAAATTGTAATTTTTGTTTTAAACAATCTAGATCATAAGACTTTGGTGAAATAGATATTTTTATATCACTTATTAACGTCACTAGAAGTTCTCGCTCTTTGTGATTCCTAGCTTGAGCTACTAAAGCTTCTTAGTTGTTTTTAAGACAATTTTCCTATCTTTAATAAGACTAATGAAATATTATCTTTTAAATAAATTGAATTATTCTAGAATTGCTCCAGGTGAATATCTTTTGAATGATGCTCACATATTTTGTTGTGTTAAAAAAAAAACAGTATGTGACAATTTAGATCTAAAAAATACAATGTTAAAGACTTTTTACCACTTGACATGTATTTCTAAGGGTTAGATGAGAGGACATGAATCAATGAGTTTGCTAAATTGCTTCCATAATATAAGGAAGATCTAGGTCAAACAATACAAGACACCAGTTTTGTTTTGTTTTCATCAGTAAGTTGAAGAACTAGTTTTTTTCCATTTACCATTAAATGTATGTCTTATTTCTATTGTTTGTGCTGATAGTACAACAACAACAATAAAACTGTAAATCTCAACATTCATGTTGATAGTACATAAACCATAAAATAAAAAGGAAAAGAAAAATTAGAAACGAGAGTAAAGATGAGGGAAAAAAGGAAAGAAACAATTTCTTTAAACATTTTATACATAACATAAATCTAATTCTTTAATCAAATCTCGTGTGATCAGTGACTAGTAAATCGAGGTCAGGTTTGTTGACAGCCAGTTGGACACTCATAACAAACCTAAAAGGCATGATGGGGCCCGTGAGGATTTGAAGTACTGACATCGTGTATACCAGTACAACTGCCTTAAATTATATACAACAACAACAAAGTCATAAATCTTAACTATTTGTGTTCGATTATTGTCTTAAATTATGTCTAGTACAAAAATAGTAGGTAAAATATTTCTAAAGCATATTAGTGAAACAAAACATTAGTTAACTTATTATGATTCTCACAAAAGAAAATTCAATTTGTAACAGAATTAACTATTTGAACCTTTGAATATCTTAAACAATATAAGAAGCTTCCAATATAAAAGAATGAATGTTTTTTATTCACCAAGAAATGACATATATTTCATCATATATGATTTAATAAGATAGTCAAGCAAGCAAATGGGAATGAGTGTGTAACAAACTCCAAAAAAGGAAAAAACAACTTTGGATAACATTATCAATTAGTATCTTCAATCATTGCATGGAAAAGATTAAATAAGGATACCATCATTCCAAGCCAGGACGCCATGGTGTATTCCCTGATGCCAATAGGCATCACAGCTAGGAAGTAGTTCAACATGCTAAATGGAAGTAAAGGCGCAAGCCTAAGCAGCAATACAATCTGCAGGAAGAGAAAAGTGAAACTGATTGTCAGCATAGTTAAATTATTTTCAAACATAGTATGGTACCATTTCACTGGATTAATTGTATGAAACAATAAGAAAATCCAATTAGTCAAATATCGACTCACGCCAGTATATTTTGTCATATAATTTATGGAAAAAGGCTATTTAAGCAAAACCATGCAATGCATGTCAGAATAGCAACTGAAAAAAAGTATAGCTGATGCTTTTTTTAGCAAACATTCAAAATCTCTTTTTAACCTTCACAAATATCAAAACTTCTTAGATGGATGGATTATGCAAATTCTAACTATAATAAAAAATTCAAGCATGAGCTAAAGATGCTGAAAAAATATCTAGTCTGCAATTAAATAATACTAGTTCTAAAACAGATTTTTGACCATGTATAAGGGTGTTTATCATGTGAATCCTACTAAAAAAATTTATATACCAGACATACTGGAGCAAATTCATAAGAACTATTTCAGATTAAAAAAAATCAGCCTATTTTACTCTGGAATTCTGTGAATTGATAAGGCAAACTTATCCTGAAAAGTCGTGAGTATATTAACATGATTTAACCAGAGATATACTCTTGTTAAAATGAAATTGGTATTGTTTGAAAAAAAAATCATGAGAATTAGGAACAATTTTAAATACTCAAATTCATTTTGTGCTCTTTTTGAAAAGTTGTTTTATCATAAGCCATATGTAAAGTAGGCAAGATGCAAGGAGTGCTCCAAGAGCTTCAACAAAACCTTAAATCCAGATTTCTGAATTGCAGCAGCAACAGCCTGAAACTCTGGATAATCATTCAACTTGGAGACAACATAAGACCTTCCTAACTGTAAAAGAATCACAGAAAGATGCTAGTGATTGAGTCATGTGAGAAACATCAAATATTCCATAAACTAATCAGTATTGTTTGGTGGATGCAGTTCACATAGGAATACTGGATGAGTAAATAAAAAAATCTCGTTAGGACAAGCGCTGATGATAAACCTATCACTGAGCAGAGGTAGAGGATACGAGTAATGAATACAAAATAAAGAACATGGCCATGTAATTCCATAATTTTCTTTATTGTTAGCAGAAAATAAAGCAGATACATCCATTGCAAAGGTAGGAGACCGTAGACACAGTTTGCATCAGGTTAGAAAGTGACTTCGCCCATATGGACCAGCCATTGACACTGCTTTAGTTTCACTTGCAATAACCCCTATTAGGTCCCTCTTCTTCACATCTTTAAAAGAGCACCTTAACTCACAGTACATATGAGCACCATAAAAAGCACAGAATCTACCCTTCAGTTGCAATTTAGGGATACACCATGATGGATTTTGAAACATGAGGACTTCCAAGTATGCCTTTATCAAGCAGTATTCTTGCCCACTTATGTTTAACTTCTAAGTTATGGCACAATCCAGTATACTATTGCTATAGAAGGATGCACCTTTATTGAAAATCATAATCAAGTGTAATATAAACAGCTAACAATAGATGCAAGGTAAAACTCCCAAGTGAAATAAACAGCATCATCTCAAAACATTGGAATACAAAGCTCCGATTTCACCTAAAAACAAAAGGAAAAAATATATACTTGTTTTTCTAATAAGTTTGCCAGCTAGATCTTAGCATTTGACTTATCACTATTACACCATACGAGATAGTTCTATATTATAGTTAATACCTGTAAATTATCAGGTTTGCACATCTTATCCAACTTAAAATTGAGTCAAATTCATGTGGTTCAAGAAAGTTGGACAGCTTAGGTTATTGGATTCTCAATGACTTAGATCTGATCCCAAATCAACATAAGGATCCAATAATTTTAGTTCTTTCTTCTTTTGCCATGGTTATCAACAACCTCCAAAATTTCAATCCCAAAGAAACAATAAATATGAGAAAAACTATTGCTTCAGATGACAAAAGTAGACTAGGGTAAAGAGGGAATCTAATTTGTTAATTACAGGCCATCACAGATTCAAAATTTTTATTACCGTTCTACCAAGTAAAAATGCAGCTACAGAACCAAGTGTTGATCCAATTGAATCAGCAAAAAAGCCTATCAGCAATCCAAACAGATATCCACCACCAAGCTGGCAAACGAAAAGCATATATTAGAATTTGAAAGTCAGAAACAAAAAGATATGTGCATCTTTAACCTTTATCACCATTGGCCTACAAGAATTCATCATAAGCTAAACAAGAACAAAAATACCATAAATGGCTCTCTTATCTGATTTGCTGATATAGAAACAAAAGGAAAGCACAATAATATTGGAATATATTAATTGTTACATAAGCAATGCAAGGACAGCCATAAATAACATATAATTGTTTATCAAGTCAGAAACATAGAGGAACATCAAAAGTTGGAAAACTGTCATAAGTTCATATCCCGCAGGGATTCAATCTCACCGATATATATATATATGTATATGTGTATGTGTATGTGTATGTGTATGTGTATGTGTATGTGTATGTGTATGTGTATGTGTATGTGTATGTGTATGTATATGTATATATGTATGTTTGTATATATATATGTATGTATATATATATATATGTGTGTGTATATATGTATGTATGTATGTATATATATATACATAC